TTATTATTATTATTATTATTATTATTATTATTATTATTATTATTATTATTATTATTATTATTATTATTATTATTAATTATTAAATAATATATATATAAAAACGGCCCCGGGTTTTGCCGTCGATCATTAACATAAAAGATATAAACGACTAACCAAAAACACCATGAAAATGTCTAAATAAAGCAGATGACTTATCAAGTCTGTTACACTAAGATGCACACTTTCAGCTGATGATATTGTTTTAATGTTAATTAGGAATAGAACGACTCCAATGGCGAATAAGTATCAAGAAAAAGTCGAAAAAAGTTAGTAACATGCTCAGGTAATGGCGATGAAAATATACTTTATGTGAATTTTCTTGCCGGAACATGAAATAGACTGGCTGACATTATTGCGTAAAGGCGGAGAACTGGATTGCCAAATCCATTAACGATATAGAAACTGAAGAACGGTTGTATGAAGAAGCAAAGGGCTATATTATCAAACAGTTCAATGTCCTCGAGAGCGAAAGTCAGACTGACAAAGTTGAGGGACGTGCAGCAATTGTTAATCGAGAAATTCGTCGGATACTCTCATACGAAGCTGAAGATGGTGTTTACGTGCTGGATGCTCGTTTTGCAAAACTTGTCGGATACAAGTCAGCGGAAGTTGCACGAGAAAGTTTGTGAGTTTGGTTTTCATCGAAATCTATTGACTTTGATGAGAAGATATATGCCACACAACAGTCCTTCCGCTACATACTGGTTGATCACCGTGACATGTGGGCAGACGCTTACAAGAAGTCGTCCATTTGGTTATGCGCGCAGATTGGCAGCGAGGAAGTCAAGAAAGAATTGCTCGAACGAGCGAGAACATTTGTGATGAAGAGAAGGATGAATCTTCGAGACAAGCAGGAGAACAAAAACTGAAGAGGAGTATGTCGATGAAGATTTTGAAGACGAAGATGAATTTGACGATGTGGAAGAGTATGATGAATTTGAGAAATTGAATATGACGATGACTATGAGTGAGCTATACGAAGATGAATATGATGATAGTGATACCACTGTAGTTTGGCATCCTTAGAGTCAAAATTGATCAAGTGAATGATGTTATTTATCTAGCGGACTGTTCAGTATGGGTGTTTGCATCTTCGAGGTTGATTCACAGGAAGCTGCTGACAAAGGGACACCTGTATACACAGCCAACAACGTTTGTGGAGTACAGTACATTGCATCCCAGTACACAATGCAATGGGCCAGCTTATTTTCAAAATTCTCGATAAAAATTTGACTGATATTAATGCCGGTTCATTTAACGTTAATTGATTTGATTGCGCGCAATTCAGA